CCTTGAGCGAGGCTATTGTTCTTTTACATCAATTTCTGTAATTGATACTAAATAATTGTTACTATCTTATCTGATCGCATTTTACACTAAAAGAACACTTACATTTTCTTGTAACAAGTTCAAGTGGTTATTAGAGGCTATAGGAATACATATCAGACCTTTTACTGCAAGTTATAAGCACATGAGCTTATAATAAAATTTATTACAAAATTTTATTATAAAAAGCTTTGTTTACAAAAGACCCTGATGTGTACTCTTGTGACTGAATAATCATTAATTACAATACTTACAGAATCACATATTACTCTTTCATTAGTTACACTGATGATAGATGTGAAAAATTTTACTGCACAGAAGCTGAAGAGCCATGCATACACAATTTTTAATATATATATATATAAAAATTCCATAGATAGATACAGATATATACATGCTCAAGACTGCTCTAGTCTCTAAAGTACTCTAAAAGTACAAGAGGAAATAATACATTAGCTTTGCCTGAGTGGGTTATCTGGACGACAGTCAGGATAGGCAGGGAAGAAAGGCGAACATACTGAATCCAAACGGAAGCTTAGAAGAAGGCAGAAAAGTCCTCTCCTCCAAGGACAAATCTAGGGCTACAGGGAGTGGGCTAAGATCTGAATTCACAACTGCATAGACAACCATCTTGCAGCTGAGAGATGCAGAAAGAAACAAACCTCTTTGACTGAATCATAACTACAGGGCAAGACATTAGCATGGTCATTTCCTTTTATTTACCATTAAAACCATTGTAACTGAGCAGTCTGTTTGAATTGCACGGTTTCCTGTATTTTATCTTATCCTAGCTTCACAGTCAGGGTGCTCCCAGGCTAAACCGGAAAACACCGTATTATTCTATTTTATTTGTCTGTATTTGTGCCGATCTTTTTAAAAGATGACCCTGAACGACTCCTGGAATGTTCAGAACCCAGATGCAGCTCTCAAGACTCCCTCTCCGCAAAGGCTGCAACAGCATATTGGGAAGTCGGGAACAGAGGTAGCAGTTTCCAATCATAAGAACCAGTTAAAAGTTTTCGGGAAAGCAGCAAGACAGTAGTGGAGCTCCTAAACACCAAGGTCTCACCGGCAAATCTATAAGCAATCACGAACAGCGTTACTGCAGGATAAAGCTGCCCAAAAAAATTGCAATTAAAATAGTTATGATTTAGAATGCACTAAAATTTAGGGGGTTTTAATGAAATAGAAGACCTTTTTAAAGCACTTAGCTACGTTACATTATTACTGTCTGTTTGTTCTTTGTTGCTTACGTTGTGAACCCTTTTCCCTTCAGTTGCCCTCATGCTTTGACAGCATCAGAAGATATAAGCACTCCTCAGCCATTTCTGTGCAAAGTCCTCCTTTCACCAAAGACCTAACTTAGTGACCAAACTTTACTCTTAAGTTTTTGAGCAGTCTTCACGTGCTTTGTTTCACTTATTCTGCTGCAGGGGCAAGATGCTACAGCACACAGGCAGTTTCAGACCACAGGGGTGCCATGGCAGCTGCTTACGAAGCGAGAGTGTGCACAGGGAACTGAGGCAGGAGAGGCAGAACCAGCGCAAGCATCTTCCTCATGCCCACGCCAACGCCTTGCATTTTTCCAAGGGTAAGACATTCCCTTCTCTTCAGTGCTTTATTTCTAAGCCGAGACTGGCAATCTGTTGTGATGACAGGATGTGGCCCTGCGCAGTTCATTTAGGCCAGAATGAAAAAAAATTAATCCATAGCAGCTCTTGTTGTTGGCCACTGGAGTAAGCTAGACTACAAGCATAGAAGTGAAAGGCTCTTTTTTTCTAGTGCTAGTCAAATTATACAAACATATGAGACTATCTAACATTTGTTTACCCAAATCACAATGAAATTTTAGGGAAAAGTTTCTATGATTGAAATCTTTCCTATTTTGCGAATTATTTACCTACCAGATTGCAGGTTCTGCTTTTGCTAACGTACTTGGTATGTGCAAACATATATATGTACACACAATCAAAACTACTCCTAAGAAAAGTTTACACAGATCCAGACTCAAGAATTCATTCTGAAAAAATCCTCTTTAACTATTAACAATTAACAAATGCTAGGAAATGTGGCAATATCTCTATAGGTCATCTTTGGTTAATTTTTCTACTTAAAAACATGGATTTAAAGTCCTTGCATTGCAGCAAAAATATAGAACACATTCTAAACATCATCTACCTGAAACTATGAAATAATTTTTACAAGGTTTTAAAAAGCATAATCTCATTTATTACCTAAAATTATACTTTTTTAAAACTCCTCTTAAAAGGCTATGAAGGAAGTTGCAATTACCAAGACAGCTAATTTCACAGTTTCCATTTTTTTCAATCAAAACTCACTGAAAGCTGCCACTAGAAATATGTTCAGAAACCTGAATTACACTTCCACAAATATTTCATACACTTACAGGTTGGCTTGATGTCACATCTAACATTTACTAATGTTGCAATTACATTTTATATACACTGTAGCAAGTACTAGTAGGCTTTAAGTACAGCACTTCTTTCCTGTCAGTCCATCTAGATCAGTGGAAATGGGCTGACTGGACCTGAGTGTAAAGTTATGAGACTGCCATTGTAATTAACATCCTTGCTTTAAGGAT